TACTACTTTTATTTAGTAATTCTTAGAAGAATAAAATAATTAATTCGCAACAAAGGTTTTGTCCCTATATGAACTCGTTCATCTCGCATATAATTAGAAGGCAAAAAAAACTTCGCACGATTATCCCGCATAGCATTTCCTGAGAACTCATTACGCATATGCGGCTTCTGTGGTTTGTCATTATTATCCTTCAGAATCATTAATTAACTAATACATTCGACCTGATATGAAAAAACTTAGTAGAAAAACACTTTCTTTTCCTTTTTTCTTAAGCAACAGATTACACGTAATATGTTATGCGCTCTATCTTCGCTATTATTGGAGTCATTTATTGCATAGCATGATGCTTCTCACTAGAATTCAACATCCGAATTTGATTCTATTTTATTCTAGGCTTGTATATCTATGTCATCACCAGTAACTTCTGCCTCGGAACTTAACGATTCAAATCCCATCTAGACAAAATCATTGTCCAAACTACTCATTGAGCTATCACTGTCGCTGTCTTCTATATCAGTTTCATCAGTCGGCATATAATTCATACCAAAATTTATTTGAAAGGTAATGTAAATATACGCATCTCAACATCGTAAAAGGAGTTTCTATAACTCAAAATGCATCAATGATGCATGTTTCGAAATGGAATCACATGATCTGAAGGAATTGCATAGTAGATTTCAATAAAATTAGAATATGATAGAGAGCATTGTAGGGATAATCGAATAACCATCACTTTCTCTTTCTTCTTCGTTGCATTTTTTTTTCGACGTATGATGATTTATTTGAATTTCCGGACAACCCTTTTGTTTCCTGTTTATCAAGATACAGGAGGTATAGAAGATATTGATTAATTGGTACAGCTGATCATTCAATAGTGTTTGAACTTAAATATCTATTCATAAAATATATTGCTGCCACTTGCCAAACCTTGCTTGAAAAAATCAATTTCTACATCTGATATGTCTCCGATATCTTGATAAATAGGAAACAAAAGGAATGTCCGGAAATTCAAATAAAACATCTAATCATTTTTTTCGTTGTCCAGATCCAAAATCAGGAATTCCTGGGAAATTCTTCTAACTCTTAAACAATACGACCTATAAATGGTATATTTGCGCACTTCAAAAGATAAAAACTTTCACTATCGAATATGTATTAAAACTTTTTTTTTCTATTCACAAATATAATGAAAAAGTATTTTTATGATAACTATAGTATATTTATTTGAATTCACGACAATCACATTCAAGTACAAAAAAAAAATTATTTAACAATATTAATCAATCAAATCAACAAACAGTACGATATTCTTCTTCTTCGCCTCTATATTGAACATGATTACCACAGGTTCGATGCCAAAAGCAATCGCTATCAGAACAACATTCCTGCCACATTGATCGTTTTCCCATTACACCAGATCGTTGAGTATAACACCACCAGCTGCCTACTTGAACATGTCCTTGATTAACATAAGCCCAACAATAGCCTTTATAGCAACCACAGCGACTACCATCACAATCACCAGCAGCTGTCTTTTCCACAATCATTCCGAAAACGACAAGTGCAATCATCGAGACAATAATAAAGTTCAATTTCATCATGATAATTGATACCTATGAATAGAAAAAAATTATTTATTAGGCATAATTCTAAATGTCAGTTTCATTTTCAATTTATTCAAATGGTAAACCTCGTGTATTTGAATGTTATAAATTAATGTCTAATTCATTTTTTCTTAGACTTTCTTATCTTATTTCTATTTTTCTTATACTTTTTTAGGTTATAATATTTCTACTTACGATAATTCTATTCTATATCCAACTAGACACGAAAATCGTTCTCAAGAAATGACAAATTTTTTTGCGAAAAAAGTAATGAACAGTTGTCAGACTTACGATCGTATTTTAAAGTTGATTGAAAGGAAGATAGATAAGATTTGTATATGTGAACATTTGTTGGCTTAGATGCATGAGAATTTATATGATGAAACAAGGCGAGAAAACAAAGAAGAAATAGAAGACGAATCAAATAGTTTGAATTATTCAATGATCAATTTGTATAGTCAAATATGTGTGAACATCAATGTGCATTATTCCATCAGTCGTGATAATGTTTCTTTTTCTCTACATGTTCGCACATTGAACTATTTTCTTTTTCATTGTATCCATTGACGAATGAATCACATATGTATTTTGGTTATTAAATATAAAAATAATTCAAATGTCATTGATAACATAGTCATTGTTTCCTAGAGAGAAATTCATATTTCATTTATCTCTTCTTCTTTTCCCATCTGTTGCTCGTTTCTTTGTAATGTTTTTACACTGAAACATACAATTTTTGTTAATTGGTTGAGAACAGTTATACGATTCAACATTTAATTTTTTTGTTTTTGTTTTATATGATTACAGTATATGATCATTGAGAAAATAGAATTTGATCATGTTAATAGTTCAAGAAAATGAGTAGATAAGAGTTTTGCACTCGATTTGAACTAAACATTTCTTTATATCATAATCCAATTTAGTGCGTATAATTTCAAATTTATAATTCAAATTGAATCAAATATGGAAATATTTTGTTGAGTAACAAAGATTTATTAATAAATCGTACAATATTAAATGAATTTGGAAAATTAATAGAATTATATATCTATACATAAAATACGTTTCATTATTAAAAAGAATTAGATTTTCGTTTAATAAAAATATATTATTTAAGTATTTGTCAAAGAAAGGGATGCACTTCTCTTTAAGACAACTTTTTTTTTTATGGCATAATAGTTTATTACAGTTAGGTCTATTGAATTGCTTATAATTTTCTTTCCAAATAATGATTATAGGCAGAAGGATGCTGCCCGAAAGACAAATAAGTTAATGAAGAATGCCCATTGCAACACAGTTCGATTGATTGAAAATCATTTCAATATAGAATAGATAAGTTTAATTGGTCTCTCTTGTGTCTCATGAAATTTGCATCTGTATTTATGATCCAACTGCACACTCAAAAAAAAACACACGCCTTTTATCTCTTTGATGTATCAAATTCTGGATGGATAGGGGTGTACTCGACATGATAGTCAGATGTTCACGGATAAATGCCTTTCTATTTTACGCTAAATTTGTATAGAATAAAAGATGATATAATGAAGAATTTTCATGTGCAGTATGAAACGTTGAAAAGAATACCACTGAAGGATCAACCTTGGAGAAAAGAAAAATGTCATTTGTTGCTTTTTCTAAGTATCAGGACCAAATTTGTAGTGAATAATGTTCACTAAAAAGTATGGATTCTTATAATGAAAAGTGCACATGCTCAATCTTTAGAATGTATGTTCATTATGAATGCTGATTTGAAATGAATTTATAATGTAAAAAATATGAATTCGAATTTAACTGTAAATGTAGAGCAGACCTTGATATGGGCACCCCGATCCAGGTAAGATTTTCATTCGAATCGAGCGGGACCAAGTGTTGTTGTTGGGATGGCTAAGTCCGACATTTTTATTCTTTGTTTTTACTGAACTTTATAATTCTTTTAAATAATAAAAATTATTAAAAGAGTTTTACAATAGAAAAACTAGATGGATTCAAGTACGATTGATACAATCAGTCGTAGTAATTGCTTAAACCGATCATATGTCTCGTTCCTATGGAATGTTCTGTAGTGTATAAAATACGTTAGTTAACGTGAGAATGTGATTAGGAAAAAAATTCGTCTAAATTAAACGATTGTCTAACTTTTCAACTTTGACTAGTGATTGCAATCATGGAGACTATAACATTTTCTGAAAAAAGCATAATCCTATTGATTTTCGAGTGCGAGCTTCTTTCGATTTTGACATTCCACTAAGGTAACACGAGCAGTTGAAAATTGTCTGTGAACAGGAAGAAAAAAATTTTCATGCCTATAAAATTTAAAGATGGACCTTCAGATTTTAGTCATCAAAATTGTTTTTCTTTCTATTTACAGATTATTTTCGACTGCGTACTACCTCGCTAGAATTTCTAATTCGAAAAAAAAAACGAAGTTTTCATTCAGAAATATGGTTTGCCTCTCATTGGTTTACGTCAATAAAAAACTCTGTGTTCTAGGATATCAAGTTATGCATAATGATCATTGTTCGGTTTAAACATATTACCGCATACTTTTGTTTGTTCGTTTCAGTCAACAAGCAATTCAATTCATCATGACGCGAGTTATTTATTCCTAAGTACATTGATAATTACCGAAGTAACCTCCAAATTCTATTAGAAAAAAAAAATCTTTGTAAATGGAATTCCCTTCGGACTCGAGTGAGCCTACAAAACTCGATGGGTCTGACCATGAAAAAGTGGCCTATTTCGAGGCCTGGTTCAAAGTATATAGAAATATTTTGAAAGTTAAGTTTATTAATTACTATTAGTTGTTTGTTGTATGAGATGAAATAAACAATATTTCTCTTCTCTGTTTTAACTCAGGTGCGAGTATTTTTTACATTCTTATCTTTTTTAAGTAAATCTTTGAATTATTTGCGTATTACTATGATATACCAGAGATGTTCACGGTGGCGGCAGTGGTGTGACGACTTTCTTTTTGTATAAGTCATCGTGGTGCAGTAGCTTTTTTCTTCTAACGTCGCGGTGCGGCAGCAGTAAATTTTCAATCGCACTGGATATCTCTGTAATTTAGATTACTGTTTTCTCACGTATACATTGGATTGTTTATGTTGTCTTATTACTTGGTAAAAAATAAAATGGTCTACAGTCACAATATGTTGAATGAGTGTTTGCAGTTATAGTAGGAAATTGTCGAAATAATTTGAAGTAGAGAAAATTGATCAGAATCATAAACGAACATGGCAATATAGTGAAAGTTATATGAAGAGTTTATTTTATATCCCATCTTCATTTTATCATTCAATTCAAATTATAGAAAGACAAAGATTCAATAATCACCAGCAAAAAAAACATAAAAACAGAAAAATATTTAAAACAGATATTCTTTACCAAGAGTTGATATTATGTATGATATTTATTGTACAAAGATAATTTTTTTGTATTATCTTGCTGATGATTAGATATAGTTGGTAACGATGATGATGGATGATTTGTATAATGTTTATTAATCATCATTAAAGCAGTAGTTGTGGAAGACGGTGGATTTTTAGAAATATTTCCTATGATATTATCATTTGATGATGAATTAAAAACATTTGATGAAGGTGAAACACTAATATTAGTTGTACCATTCAAAACAGTTCGTTGATAATGTTGTCGAGATGGTGATGCACGTTTCGATGATAAAACAATATCAGCTTGAGATTGACAACGACTAAGTCGAATGTTACTGGGTCGTACTGTCGAAAAATTTGTCGAAGAAGATACAAATGAAGGAGAATTAAATGTTTGACTTGAATCAATTAAATCCGTTGTCTGAAAATATTAAATAATTAAAATACATAATGTTATTATATAGAAGTAAAATACCGTATCAATTTGTTTAGTTCGTACACGAAATTTTGGTGAATTACCAATAATATCATATGTCGAACCACGAAATGTCTATAATAATATAGATGAATATATTTTGAAATAAGACAAAGTCTTACTCTAAGAGAATCGGCTGTTAATCGACTTGTTGTTCTGTAATTTAATTTATTTTTATCAACAATAGTACGTAAATCTGATCTAATCATATTGATTTTCGATTGATTTGTATTATTGTTCAATGATTCTTGTTGTTTCTGTGAAATTGATGATGATGATGATGATGATATTTTTGATTGATCATTTGAACTCAATGAGAAATTTACATTATCTGGAGTTGAATTTATTACTGTTGTTGAATTATTTTCAATTTTTATTTGATGTTGATCATTTTCAGCTTGAAATTCTCTCATCATTGTTATTATATCTTTAGCTGGTCCTTTATCGGATCGACCCTAAATATATTAATCGATATATTAAAAGAAAAAAAAAGTTAAATACACAACATACTGTTAACCATGGATGTACAATAAGTTCACCCATTGTTCGACGATGAACTGTATCATAAACCAGCATTCCTTGTAAAAAATCAAGACCTAGAAAAATAATTACTTATTCATTTATAGAATAAATTTAAATAAAAAAAAAACAACAACCTTCAGATGAAATATTTCGAAATTTTTCCAAATCAAATCGAAGTTTTTGTGAACGAATTATTTCAAGTAAACGTCTTTCATCATTCGCAACATAAGGATGACGACCACAAATTCTATTAGGAATATAAAAATTCTTAATACACTTCCTATGAGATTAAAATGTAAAATACAATAAAACTGCTTTCTAGAGATCGTCTGTGATGATCTCTGAAGGCTCGTCTGTACAGTTAGAGTCCGCCGGGTTCAGGCCTAAAAATTTTGCGTCGACCGGATCCGAGTCCAGAACTTTTTGGACTCGATGGACTCTTCCAGCAAAAGATTAATTAATCAGGTTCGAATCCAAAATTTTGATCGGCCGGGTCCGGATTCGGTTCTGGATCCAAAAATTCTTGGGCCTGATGAGCTCTAGTCACAGTTTGTAATGGTTCCTAGAGCTCGTTTATGATG